GGTAATCTAACACCACTACTACAGTCCTACAGTAGCACTACTGGAGCACGACTGTTATAGTACTGTGCTACGCCTAGTGCAGCGCCACCGCTACAGCACTACAGTACCAGACTACTACAGAAACGCGGGGTGCGGCATTGGAGTATTCCTACCCCAGTACTGTAGTACATCCGCTGCAGGCAACAGTAGATTATCATTCTAGCGAGTACTGTACTAGAGTATTGTTCTACAGCGCCACTATTACAATAGCAGCTCTGCTCCACAACAGTGCAGCACTATTCTTACCTACAGCACTACTGCTAGTGCACATTTCGGCGGCAATACGATTGTATCTGAGTATTACAGGAATGGAGTAACTCTAATACAACACTGCAATGCGACTACTACAGCAAACACGGTAGGGTATGATATTGACTGCACGACTTGAGTACTACTACTACTACTACTACTACTACTACTACTACTACTACTACTACTACTACTACTACTACTACTACTACTACTACTACTACTACTACTACTACTACTACTACTACTACTACTACTACTACTACTACTACTACTACTACTACTACTACTACTACTACTACTACTACTACTACTACTACTACTACTACTACTCCTACTCCTACTCCTACTACTACTACTACTACTACTACTACTACTACTACTACTACTACTACGACGACTACTACTACTACTGCTACTACTACTACTACTACGACCTACTACGACCTACTACAGCTACAAGACTGTTACAGTATTGTTATCCGTCTTTTCCCAAGGCACAGAGGGGGAGGGGGGAAGGGGGGCGCGAGGAGAGGGTGGGGAAGCGTGGGAAGACCGGCCCCAAGACAGGGCCTCCTCCTCATCCACCTCCGCCTCCGCCTCCTCCCCCTCCACCTCCGCCTCGGGCTTCGAGGGTGTCGGGGGGGGGGCGGGGGCAAACAAAAAAAACTTTTTACAAGCAATATGTTTTTCCCCCCCCCTCCTCCTCTTCCTCGTCCTCTTCCTCGTCCTCTTCCTCGTCCTCTTCCTCCTCCTCCTCCTCCTCTGCCTCCTCCTCCGCCTCCTCCTCCTCCGCCTCCTCCTCCTCCTCCTCCGCCTCTGCCTCCTCCTCCTGGGGAAGGGAGGGAGAAAGAGAGAGAAAGAGAGAGAGAGGGTAGCGCGAGAAGAAAGAGGGCGGAGGATGATATAATGAAATGGTGAGTTTCGCAGGGGGGGGATTCGACCCCGAAACCCGCTTTGTGGCCCCATAGGGAGCTCCACCGAAGGCCCAAGTGGCGCAATTCGCACGCGGTTCCCCCACCCAGGGCAGCGTTTCGTAGCCCCATAGGGAGTTCCACCGGAGGCCCCAGTGGAGGTGTTCGCATGCGGTTCCCGTACCCAGGGCAGCGTTTCGTGGCCCCATAGAAAGCTCCACCGAAGGCCCCAGTGGAGCAGTTCGCATGCGGTTCTCCTACCCAGGGCAGCGCTTCGCGGCCCCATAGGGAGCTCCACCGAAGGCCCCCGTGGCGCAGTTCGCATGCGTTTCCCCCACCCAGGCCAGCGCTTCGTGGCCCCATAGGGAGCTCCACCGAAGGCCCCAGTGGCGCAGTTCGCATGCGGTTCCCCCGACCAGGGCAGCGTTTCGTGGCCCCATAGGGAGCTCCACCGAAGGCCCGCCCCAGTGGCGCAGTTCGCATGCGGTTCCCCCACCCAAGGCAGCGTTTCGTGGCCCCATAGGGAGCCCCACCGAAAGCGGCACCCACAACGCGTTACGAACAATTGCTTATGGTTGGGTCCTTCGCCAGGATAATTTCTTGTGGAGGACCTGGCTGCCGTCCGGCTTCGATGAACACGCATCGATGCCGATTGTCACCCCCTCGATCCTGCGCTAAGTGAAATGCGAGCCGTACTGACGCCCAGCACGCTGCACGGCCCCCATGTACTCCTCCGCCCGGTGCGCCGAAGTGGCAAGCAACATTGTGTCGCCCGCGCACGAGCTCATGGACATGCAGTTTCAGGTCCAGGCTCGGCGCGCCTCTCTCTTCGCATCGTGCAGCAGAGCCGTCATAACGATTTGAAGCAGGATTGCGGGTACATGGCTGAAGTGGCTCCTGCATCCCGGTCGGCGAAAGTACGGTTGGTGTAGATGGCCCGGACGACCTGGACCAAATGGCACGGGACGCCAAAACGTTCCAAGGAGAGGCAAAGTGCGTCGGGCGAGACGCTGTGAATGCCTGTGCCCAGTCGAGAGCGCGCAATGACAGCCTTCCGTTCTTCTCCGCCCATGCGCGCTCGAGTAGCCCGCACGCCAGAAAGATGGCGTCGGCCGTGCCGTGCTGGCTCTTGAAGCCGAACTGGGTGGCCCACGCGCGGCCCTCGGCGCCGCCGTCCTTCAGGCGGTTCAGAAGGATGGCAGCGAATATTTTGTGCCCGACCGAGAGCAGCGAGACTTTTGGTTCATTTTGCCACATCACCTTCCTCCTGTTGCTAAGCTGTATTCCAACCATCGTGTCCTGTCCGCTTTGTTTGGGGCTTTGACTCGCTGGGCGAAGGCGCACTCTTGAGCAGGAAGACCTCGCGAGCGGGCGTCATTCCGCGAGCGCGTCATTCCGCTCCGAATATTTGCCAGCGTCTGCTCCGATATCCACGGCCCATTCGGCCGGAGTGCTGCCTCCAGTAGGCAACGGTCCGCGGTGTCGCGGAATGGTGAGATCATCCTCTCGTTGAGCTGGTGGGCTGCGACATCCTCGCCGGAGCAATGTGAGATCATGTGTTCAGTGAAAAGCTCATTGAAGGAGCTCGCCAAAGCCAGTTCTCTCAGTGCCGAAATGTCCTTTCGCGTCGTCGGCGCCGACGGCGTCGCCTGCTGCGTTTCGACCTGTACAAGCCACTGCCGCTGTTCGATCATTCCATACCCGCTGGACTGAATCCTTCCACTCCGCACTAACAAGTATGAAGTTAATCTGGCCGAAATGCCGCTCGATCAGCGGGTCCGCCGGCGACGAACCGACGATGTAGCACGTGATTATTATATACAATGGCTCGTCGAACATGGTACTCCCGATGTGCGATTTCCTTGAGAAACAGAGTTCGAGCAGGAAGGGACGATTCGACACTGAATTGGGTTGGGCATAGAGATCCCGCAAAGAAACACCAGCCCATGACAGGACAGCTTTCCCGAGGAAGCGGCCCAGCTCCTGGAAGAAGTCGCGCAGCTCCTCCATCGGCTTGCCGCAATGCGGGGCGCACGCGCTGCAGACGACGATCTTGCCGCCCGCGACGCGGAGTTTATTCATGCTTGTCTGGGCGAAGCGTGTTTGAACCCGACGATGCTGCGCTGTGCCGCGGGTGAGACCAGAAATCCCGCGCTTGCCGTCTCGGTCGCTTCGTCTTCCGCCGTCCCCGAGAGGATTTGCAGCCAGCGTCTGTGACGTAGTATTCTGATAATGTCTTGTGCGCATCCTGCGGACACATTATATGAATCACTCCATCAATCACATGCGTCTGTATCTCTACCTATTTCGTCTCAGTGAAGCCTTCCACGCTCCAGGGGCCAAGCTGGAGGTTCGAGCCAGATGCCGCGAGTCTTCCGCCTCTGAAGAAAAACGCGTCTTGGCGCGAACTCGCCTGCACTCCAATATTGTCCGCGGCGGCACCAGCCGCAGGTAATCTGGTGCCCATGCAGAACTAAATTCTCAAACAATTCGGGTTTATAGGTGCAGTAGTGCCGACTGCGGGTGAACCAGCGCTCATGTGCCGTATGTCCTAATGTGGGGTTGCCTGCCTTTGGGCAGGTCTGCCCTTGGAGCCGTCCTTACGCTTGGTCTGTCATGCTGGCTGCCGCCCTGGGTACGATCCCGGCGCACTTCGTCTTCAGCTCGACGATCAGTGCATGCTTGTGCAATTCGCCCCAAGAAGCCCCCTCGCCCTTCCAGTCGTGCTCAACCCCGGTCTGCGCCAAAAGGTCCAAATTGCGAAACGCCAACAAGACCGATTGTATTGAACGCCACGCTGGTCGCAAGACGGCCCCAGGAGGGCCCCTCAGGCTCCAAGAAAGGGACCCAAGTGCATCCTCAAAGAGCCTCAAAGGAGTCCCCAGAGGCCCCCCCCAACCCTCTAATCCGGAGGCTCCGTCTCACAAGGACTTTCGCGTGAGCCTCGTCCTGCTCGCGCCCGCGCGCTGTCGCCCCGGCGCTCGCCTCCCGTGCCCCAATTAGTCTGCCACTGCGCCCCCGTGTCCTCTTGAACGCTTCTTGGAGACAAGTCTCCACCGACCGAAGGTCTGCCTCGTCCTTCTCTCCGCGGTTGGCCAGGGGCGGCCGCCGCGACAGATTGCCAGCCACATCCAGCCCTCAGGCGAGGAGAGAAGCGCTGCGATTCGGGGCGCCCCCACTTGGCATCGCACGAACGTGCGCATGTGTTCTCGGCAAGGATCATGGAAGAACGTCTTGGATCTTGACTCATCTTGCGAGGAAAAACGCACGAAACCGACACATGCAAGGCAAATGGACGTCCGAGCGATGGCGAGCCCGAAGGGAACGCATGTTGTTGGAAGAGGGAACTCCCTGGACCACCGCACCTTCAGTGTACCAGGTGCAAGTGTTCAGCGACAGCAACTCATTACAGGAGCCATGGGTGTCCTTGCCGACCAGCCCACGGGTCCTTCGTGGCGCATGGGGTATAATATTGCGTGCTTGCTTGTATGTCTGGCCGTCTCTTGCGTTCCAAGGGGTTTCTTCTTAGGGGCCATCATAAGGGGCCCTCGTGCGCCTCTTGAAGCCCCGCGCAGGCTCTCGTGGCGCCCCTTGGCGCCCAATGGGATTCTTAAAGACCTCTTTGGAGTTTTCGGCGACGTCCTAGAGCCCTCTCTAGGACATCTTGGGCACCCGAAGCTGTTTTGGCATTCCCTGCAACCCCCTTCTTGGCCCCCCTCTTCCCGTCCAACTCGCCAGAACCGCCCACCCGCCCCCCTGGAGGTGCCAGGGACAGATCTCCTGCGCTGGTACCCCAAGGGGTCGGCGCATTCTGCCTGATTTGCCCGAGAAGATCAATCAGCTGCAGAAGGTGGAGATGACAGCGGAGCAGCAGCGCCTCTACCAGGCGGTCCAGCAGGACTGGCAACAGGTGATGGTCGCCTCGCGGCTAGGGAGTGACAACCACAAGTTTCAGCGCCGCGGACACATCTTCGCGATGCTGGAGAAGGTGCGCAACATCTGCAGCCATCCACTTTGTCTGGACCGGGACAAGTACCCTGATTCTTGCCGCCATACGCCCGTGGCCAATTCCCCTGAGGCGTCCGGCAAGATGTCCCGGCTGTTCGAGTTGCTCGCGGAGATTTTGGGCAACGGGGAGAAAGTGATCATCTTCGTGACTCGCAAGAAGATATTCAAGTGGCTATCACCATTCCGCCGACCCCCAGGAGGAACGAGAGCCTGCCACGATCGTGGAAGATATTTGGTCAGATGCATTACTCGATCTCTCCAGATGCCTGTCGGGCGTGTTTAGGAGGGCCTTTAGTGGCCTCTCATGGGCACTTCCGGGGCTATCTTGGAGGAAAGGTTCGACATGTCAGTTCGCGCGGCCCCTCGTCGCCTCCTCTTGGGCGCCTCTTGGGGCAGTCCTGGGCCGTCTTAGGTGCCCCAGTGGCTGTCCGAGGCCCTCTTGGGTCGTTTTGGGGCCTTCTTGGGACGATTTTGGGGGCCCCTTGGGCCATCGTGGACGCTGTGGAGACGAAGAAGGCGAGTACGTCAAACATGTATGTGTTCCGTCAGAAATGAAACGATTTTACTTCGTGGGGCCCTCTCGGCGATTCTCTTGTAGCACTCTTAAGCCGTATTGGGCGCCTCGGGGACCGTCTTGAAACCCGCCGGGACCGTCATGGGACTACCCTGTGCTTTCTCGACGCTCTCTTGCACTGTGTCGGCACTCTGTCTTGACTCCTCTCTGGGGCCGTCTTCGGGCTCTTTGGCGGTTCTGGAGGCCCTGGGGGCGCGTTAACGAGTTCGTCGCCCCCCCCCCCCCCCCGTCAAACGGCATTTTGGACCCCAGGCAAAAGACAGCCAAATGTCTCGCACGCACCTTTTCCCCCAGCAGGCGTGGATCGGTGGACTCTCCGTGCTGGGCGACATGATATGCTCCCGCTTCCCGGCGATCGTGGCCCTGAAGTTTTCTGGCGATCTGACTCTTCTGGAGAGGAACGCGGTGGAGACACAGTTTGCCCAGGAGAGAATCGGTCTTTCTAACACGGATTTCAGCAAGGGCAGTTTTGTAAGGGTAGCGAAATACACGACGGACGGCTTTCCCCAATTTTCAGCCTTCGGGGGCCCTCCCCGGGCCCTGGGACCGTCAAAAACCAGCTCAGGATGAAACACCAGTCCTGGGAAATGGGTCGAGACCTTCGGGGGTCGACGTTATGAAAATACTGTGGCATAAGGGTTTGGGTTTGGAGAGCTGGAGTCACAGTCAGCCCTTAGGGGAAGGCAAGTACGCAACAACCAGTGGGTCTTCGGGGGGATGACGTTATACGCGCGCGGCCGAACACTAAGGCCAGTCTTGGGGCCTCGGGGCCCTCTCTTTTGCAGTCGTTGGTCGTTTGTGAACCTTTGACAGGCCCTCTTGAAGCCTCTCTTGGAAGCTCTCGTTCGACTCTTGAGGCCTCCTGGCCCATTCAGGGGACCTCTTTGGTCGTCTTAAGCATCTCGTGGAACCATAGTTTGCCACTCTAAACGAGGTTCAAGGAGAGGCTGTATAGCGAACGCTATATCCGACGCTGTCTGGGCTCAAGGCTCCGCTGTCCTACTCGCCAGTTGCACAACCGTGTGACTCTATCTGTGGATCGCAGCAACGGGCTCAGGCCACGTCCTTCTTTGATCCATCTCCCCATCCCACGGTTTCTCTCTTACCTCTCGTCTTGCTTACAATCAAGAGATGAGTTGTGGGATACCACGGTACGTCGCAGACGGTATCCTAAGAGTAGGGTTCTTTGCTTATTACCTCATGGTCAAGCCCTGTACCCTTATTTTAAATTTGGTAGCGGAGTTTGCTACATCTTCATGTGGTTGGCTCTTACATTTAGGTGCTATGTACATAACAACTTACCACGGCACAGTTCAGTACTCGACCGCGCTGGCTGTCAGCCACTACGCTCCCAATGCTCTCGAACCAACTGGCTACTTACAGTCCTATACCTTCACTCCCCCACCGCGTGGCCACACGCCACGCACGACCCAAACACCGATATCGATCTGCAAGCTGACGGCCACGTCAGACCAGACACCCAGTCGAAACCCTACGGACGCGACACTATCGAATGATACGCAACCTCGCATCATCAGCTATAACGTGACCGCGCATCATGTTAAGGTCGCGATATGGACCCATCTGGGTGTGCTTAGGTCTTGCCGTGGCATACATGCGAGGAGGAGGACTGGATGGAACACGCACGCGGGGTCTTTTTGGGGGCCCCGCAGGTAACGCACCCTTCCGTGACTTTGCTCGCGAAGTACACGCATGGCGTGACGTCGCGAGCGGGAGCATGACTCCACCTCAACAAGCAGCTGCTTTACAGCGCGGCCCAGGGGGATTGGCTAGGACACTAGCCATGAGGGTGCCATCCACCATCATCAATTACGGTGTCACAGCGCAGGGGAGACGCACCGATGGAGTCACATACATCATGTACCTACTAAGTACCAAATCTTTTTTTTCAAAAAAAAAAAAAACCTTGAGGACGAGCAGCAGCTGACCTTGGGGACAGCCTTCATCGACTTCAAAGCCAGCAGAGGCGAGAGTATCGACTCAATGGTGGCCCGGTTCGAAATGGCCAGACTGGAAGCAGACCCAGCAGGCTTCAACATACCCAGCGTCCAGATCCTTACCCTGGTTTTATTTCGTGTCTTGGGGGTTGGTACCTCCCGAGCAGCCCAACTACTGCAACCGCTGAACCACCAGATGCCCCGTGCTCAACAACGGCACGGTCAACTCTTAGAGCGAATGCGCAGCCATGGACGCTTGGCTGAGCGTTCCCCAGGGAACATCGGGAGCATCTTCAGCGGACGCAACGCTGGCACTTACCACGCCGAAGTAAGCGACACACCGGCAGCCATGCCGAACAGCATCTGGAATGACGGAGGCCCCACTGAGTCCACGACGCTCCCAGGCAAAGACGCCCACAACAACTGCAAATTGGCGTCTGGCCCAAACATGGGCTGGCCGTCAGCGGTCAGCTACACGCCACCTGACGCGACTGCCTTCTGGGGCTCACCCAGTTAACAAGATGACGACGCATTCGATTCCGGTACGGTACGGTCCCCTCTTACCGTCGCCGAGAAATTTTGACTGGTCAGAACTGCCGCCGCTGCCGCAGCTCAGCGGCCCACTGCGCAGCAGGCGTGCCAGGTAAAGCCGGAAAATGTAGCCCTGGCACGGGCGGTCTAGGCCGCGGCCGCAGCCGCTCTCGCGGCGCCTGCCCCTTCATGGGCAAGGGCTACACTCAGTCAGCCGAGCTCATGTGCGGCGCGAGCTCCAGAGATGCACGCTGGGGAAAGGCTTGCGCCCCCCCTGGCGAGGGGCGCGCCTCTCTCTCTCTCTCTCTCTTTCTCTCTCTCTCTCTCTCTATCTCTCTCTCTCTCTCTCTCTCTCTCTCTCTTTCTCTCTCTCTCTCTCTTTCGACGACCAGGGCCCGCGCATGGAGATCGACGAATCCGACGTGAGCCATTTCCTCGAGCAGGGCTAATTACGCAGAGTCACAGATTCGCCGCTGACGGTCTTCAAAGCACTGCGTTTGCGTCGCGGCAGGGACAGCGACGACAGCGGATATGCAAGCGAAATATGATGAAGAGTCGCAGGGAATACCGCGCGCATATGCCCATGCCCGGCTCGCAGCGAGCATCCCCGTAGCTGCCCGATTGACCGCCCATCTCGCAGCCTTCGCCATGGCGGGGCGCCTGGGACCCCCGATCACGGCGGCGGCGTAGGCGGACGGGCGGCCACGCCCATTGAGGAGCAGATCCCCCGGACCGACACAGAAGCTCAAGAGGCAGGAGAAATATGGGGAGACCTGGACGTTATTCGCATCTCCATGATCTACTACGTGGACTGGCGTCACTGGCATCCGGGGGATTACCCCGCCCACGACAGCGACGACAGCGCCCCCAGTATTTTTCGCCATCGCGAGCTGAGCGCGACAGGTCAAAGCACTGGCAGTCCCAGGGCCGAGGCCCCAGCGCCCCCTCCAGCATCGACCCACGCGGAAAACGAGAAGATGGAACGAGGGGGGGCAGGGCGAGCGGCCCCTCGCGCCCACTCCACCTGCCGAGCCACCGCGCGGACGCGCCCAGGGCCAAAGCAACCCCGACAAGGAAAGGGGCGGACGCGCCCAGGAGGTCCAGGGCAACGCTGCCCCTAGGAGAAACTGCGCCCAGACCAAGTCCCCCGATTTCGTTGAGGACAAGCATAAGAACAAGGGCAAACTCGGCCCTGCTGGACGCGAAGGCAGCGTCAAAATGAGAGCTGACCGCTTCAAAGGCGGCTCGACACCTAGCCGGTTGCACTGGGGTCCGCTGAGTCACAGGAGACCCCGCGGGCATCGATGCCTGCGCCTATCAATTCCAGCATTTGCGAAGCTTTCGCTGCAGACATCGATTCCTGCTACGCCCGACTCGGCCCCCGCGCCTGATCCTTCCCGGCAGCGCTCGGGCACGCGAGAATGCGAAAGCATGGATAGCGATGGGGCCTGGCAGTGAGCTCGCCAAAGAACGCAAGTGAAAGGCCGCGTCTGAGATGGTGCAGTGGGTTTGAGAAACCATATAATTAATGGCGCTTTTCTTTTGGAGGGATTAGAAATAGCGATCGGTTCTTATGCGGCGGCCCCAGTTGTGATTCTTTCCAGGGCCAGCGGGTGCCAGCGAATACGACTGCGCAAACTCAGACAAGTAGTTTTCCTTGCCCGGACGCGGGCGCGCACGCCTACAGCGCGGTTATCTTCGCCCAGCCACGGGCATCGATACTCATATCTCCACAGCTACCATGAGCGCCCAGGCACGTCACGGGCACTATTCTGTCTTATTTGTTATTTCTAGAGGGGATCTGACCGCTGGGTCATATTCCCTCGCGCGCTGCGCGCTCTGATGTCCGGCCCACTGGCTGGGCGCTACCCCTTGATTTTCTGCGGATGGTCGCGTGGACTTGCCCGTGACAACGCATAATCGTCTGCGGTTGGTCGCGGCAATGCGCCGCGACCGGCCATAGTGCTCTGCGCTGCCCCCTCTGTGTTTCGATGCCGTATGCTGTCAGGGATGTTGAAAACAATATCCCTATCCTATTCCTTTAATTGTGTTAGTTAATCAGAACTTAGACCAAGCGTTCGGCCCCTCCCCTCCCAACTTTAAACGAGGTTGAAGGATAGGCTGTGTAGCGAACGCTATATCCGACGCTGTCTTGGCCCAAGGCAGAGCTGTCCAATCTGCCAGTTACACAACTGTGTGATTATATACGCGGGTCGTAGCAACGGACAAAGGCCACGTCCTTCTGTGATCCATATCCCGATCCCATGGATTCTCTCTATACCTCTCGTCTTGCTTGCCATCGAGAGATGAGTTGTGGGATACTGCGATACATAGCCGACGGTATCCTAATCAATAGTAGAGTTCCTTGCTCAGTACCACATGGTCAAGCCCTGCACCCTTACTTTTCATTTTACCATCGTGATGTTTTAGGCGATTTCGGAGCCGTGCCCGGCAGGCCAGACGACCTCAGGTTTCTCGTGGTACCCGTTATCGTGCCGGGGTTTTTGGGCCAGCGTCGCTCGCGCGAAATAGCAGTTAGCAGTTGATCGGGCAACATGTTAAACGTATGAACGGGCATATGGCGCTCGTTGGGCAGGCTGGGCGGGCCAAGTTTGAAGCTACCTTGCCCTTTAGTTCAACAAAGTCTGGCGCTTCGCGTATCCTCACCAGCCCATCCAGCAACGATGTCTACTAGGCAACGATCCTTGATCAATGCAAAACGCTTAAGACGAGTTGCATTGATCAGGAAACCGTGGGAGCACGCAGCGGAACAAAGATGGGCAGCCGTCGAATCGAACATCGGATCAGCCAGAACAGGCCCAGGAGTCAACCATATATCTCTTGGAGCTGTTTTGGAGCCCTCTTGGAGGCCCTGGGGACGCTCTTGGGGCCGTCTCGGGAGCCATCATTCAAAGAAGCAGGAGTTCTCAAGGACCCCCGTCGGACGCCGAAAAATTGAAGTCCTTTCGGGGCGCTCTTCGGCACTCTTGGGGTCATCTTGGGCCCCTCGTGGGGCTCTCTTGGCCCCTCTTGGAGCCATCTCGATAGCCCATCTGCAGCGACCATGTGAGAGTACCAAATAGTTGTCCCTTCGATTGTGAAAGAATGGTGGCCTCTCGGGGGTTGTTAGGGTGACTCCGTAGCAATTGTTGAACGGTTATGGCGCTTTTGGGAAGTATGTTGGAAGCTGTATTGAGCCATCTTGGGCTATCGTTTGCACTTCTGGTGGCCATATTGGGCTATCTGGGGCCATTTAGGGGCCATCTTGGACGTTCAACACCCCGCTGCGTCCGGGAAACCATTCCCTGAAAGGGAATGTGGATATTGGAACAGCTAATTTGCGACAACACGTACGCCCAGAGGGCTGGTTGGGATTTGGTCCACGCTAAATCTTTTATCCTACGTTTTTTGACGCTTCGCGCATCCCCACAAGCCCATCCAGATACGCCGCCCAGGCGAATTGCGCTGATAGGGGGGCGTAGGAACAAACCGAAGCTCGAGATCAACTTGAGCAGACCCAGGGGTCAACCAGAATCGTGAGATCTGACAGCCTACACGGGTGACTTGGGTCACCTTGCGGCCTTCTTGGGATCATTTTGGAGGCCGTTGGGGCTCTCTTGGGGTCCTCTCCGGGGCAGTTCGGGCCTTGCTGTTGCCATCTTAGAGGGCATCTACCAACGAGAAAGAGGTCCTCATTTAGTTTTGCCTCTCTGGAGCCCGAAGGTCGCCTCCTTAAGCGCTCTTGAGGCCGTCTTTGGACCTTCTTGGCCCCTCCTGGGTCTCTCTTGGGCCATCTCGGAGGCACATTGATGCATCAGAAACCAATCAGAAGCGAAAAGGCGAGAATGTGGTTGGGGAAGGATTTGGGCCGCCTTGGGAGGCTCCTTGGGCACTTGGAAATGTATCGGTGCCTTTTGGAGGCACCTTGGAGGACATATTGAACTATCTTGGACCATCTTTCGCCATATTGGAGGCGATCTTGGGCTAGATGGAGCCACATTGCTTCTTGGGCTGCCAGTGCGGCGCTCTTGGGGCCGTACTGGATCCCTCTTGGGCCCTTCCTGGAGCTTTCTGGGACCTTCCTAGAGGCGCATTGATGCATCAGAAGCCCATCGGAGACGAAAAGGCGGCAATGCCAAACGCACGTGTTTTCCTCAGGTTGGGAAAGGAGTGGGGCCTATCGGGAGGGAGGCCCCGTAGCCACTTGGAGCGGTTCGGAAGCTTCTATGAGCATGTTGAAAGCATAGAGCGATCCTTTGCTATCGTGAGCCATCTTGGAGGCAATTGTGGAACCATCTTGGGCGCTCTGAGCGCTTGCGGCATCGCCGTCCAGACCCAGGACCCAGGGGAGGGCGTCGGGGGAGGGGTCAAGTTCCCGGCGGGAACGCCGCAAGCTGTCACGTTCATTCCCACCCGCTTTCCCACGACATAAGTAGTACCCGAATCTCAGTATAGGCAGGGGACGCCATCGACAACCATCGGGAACCAATGGAGATGATAGCCAAGTGCGGGAAGCCTGCGAGGTGCGCGGTGCGCCGTGGATGCCAGGTGCGCCGCGCGCACCATGTGCACCAGGTGCCCCATAGGCCGAAGCTTGCCAGGCGCGCCAGATACGTCACGAGCTCCACATGCGTGCGCCACGTGCGCGTCGCGCGCAGAGTGAGCCAGGTGAGCCAGCGCACAACCAACCCTGTCAAATACCATTGCAAAGTGATCACGGGATTGCCAGCATCGTGTATTGCGTGTGTACCCGAAGTCACTTTGATGATGAGCCGCTTGTGCACAATGCCCCCCCAACCCTCGCCAACCCTGACAAAATTACCTTGGCGAAGGACTCAACCATCTGCAGGCGTGTGGGGGGGCACCTCAATGCAAGTGGGACGAAGGAAAGGAAGCTCCCTATGAGGTCACGGTTCGTGTGAGGGGTCGACCGACATGGGGCCAGTACCGCATGCGGACCTTGTCTCTGGGGCCTTCGGTGGAGCCCCCTACGGGACCACGAAACGTGTGAGGGGTGTGCCGAAATGGGGCCAGTACCGCATGTAGGCCCTGCCATTGGGGCCTGCGGTGGAGCTCCCTTTGGGCCCACGACACGTGCGAGGGGTCTGCCGAAACGGGGCGGGTATCGCATGCGGACCCTACCACTGGGGCCTTCGGCGTGGCTTACAATGGACCACGGAGGGTGGGAGTGTGCCGAAATGGTGCGGGTATCGAATGCGGACCCTGCCACGGGGGTCCTCGGTGAAACTCCCAAGTGGTCCACGAAACATGTGAGGGGTGTGCTTACATGGAGTCGGTACCTAATGCGGACCCTGCCACGTGGGCTTTCGGTGGAGCTCTTCAGAAGGCCACGAAGTGAATGATGAGGTCTGTCTAGATGTGGCCAGTACCGCATGCGGACCCTGCCACTGGGGCCTTCGGTGGAGCGCCCTATAAGGCCACGACACGAGCGAGGAGTCAAGAGAAATGGAGCCAGTACCACATGCGGACCCTGGCACTGGCGCCCTCGGTGGAGCCCCCCATGGGACCACGACAGGTGCGAGCGGTCTGCCGAAACGGGGCGGGTACCGCATGCACACCCTGCCACTGGCGCCTTCGGTAGAGCTTCTAATGTACCACGCAGCGTGCGAGGTGGGTCTGCCGAACTGGTGCGGGGACCGCATGAGGTCCTTGCCATTGGAGGGCCTTCGGTGGAGCTCCCACTGGGGACACGAAACGTGTGAGGTGTGTACCAAACTGGAGGCGGCTACCGCATGTTGCGAGCCCTGCCTCCGGGGCCTTCCGTGGAGCTTCTACTGGGGCCACGAAACGTGTGAGGGGTGTGCCCGAAGTGTTGACACGCGGAGGGCAAAGGCAGGGACGGGAGGAGGGAGTGAGTGGGCAGCGGGAGGGAGTGGGGTGCGGCGCTGCGGACTTAAAACGAGGTCCCAACACCCTAGGATGGTTGGGTAAAACAAGGCAAAGTGATCGCGGGGCGCCCAAACATGATTTAGATCTTGCCGCAGCATGCGCGTTGTATTGTTTTTGCTTGCCAGGGATGTTGGAGGGGTGTTGGCATTGTTCCTGGTTGGTCGCCGGTCGAGTGGGAGTGGGCGCCCATCAGTGACGAGAAAATGCAGTGAAGAAGGGGGTTTGAAGAGGAATCGTCTTAGACCACCTCAGCCCTAAATGGCGGGTGGGATTCCCCGATCTGCCCAGGACCCCCAGGCGAAGGTGCTCATTATCACGGTCCAGTGCGGGGGCATCGGTCTCAATCTTGTGGCTGCCAGCCATGTCATCCACTTCGACCGCTGCTATAACCCTGCCAAGGAGGCGCAAGCGACGGACCGCTGCCACCGCATGGGCCAGCAGAAGGTTTAGCAGGGAGAACCGTACGTGAATGAAGTGATAAATTCTTCGCTCAATCAACGCAAGCTTTTTCAACAGATGCCCCACCGCCGCCCCCTGCCTTTGTGGTGAAATGTCGGTCGGAAGTCATGCCATGCTAGTGGATTGCGTGTTACCCCTGTCGTTTGGGAAACCATTGGGGCAACATTGAGGAAGGGCCGTCTCGGGGCTGGTTTGGGGCTCATGCCGGGCATCTGGGCTTTCTTTCGGCCCTTGGGCTGTCTTGCAGCTCTGTTGTGCCGTCTTAGGGCGCTCTTAGGCCGTCTGGCGCGTTCGGAGGCCGTCTTAGGGGGCCTCTCTGGGCCGTATGCCGGTCCTCTTGCTCTTTGGAGACTGGGAGATTCATTCAATCGCTTCGCTCATTCCGCCGGCCCGTATTGTGCCATCGCAGGCGTTTGCTTGCGCGTTCGTGGCCTCTTGGAGCCTCGGTGGGGCCGTTTGGGGCCTCTTGGCGCCTCTTTTTAGGCCTCTTGGAGAACTCGGGAGGCCTCCAGGGGGCCTCCTGAGCTCTCGTGACGGTCTCTTGGGGGGCTTTCGGCGGGCTCTTGGCGGTATTTGTTGGTCCTCTTGGGGCCTGGGGCCTGACGTTGTTGGTCCTCTTGGGGCCTCACGGGAGCTTATTGGGGCGTCTTGGGGGTGTCTTGGAGAGTCTCTTGGGGCCTCTTTCGGGGTCCTGGGCGCCTTCTGGGGCGGAGGGCTCGATTTTTCAGTTCTCGGTTCCCTTCTTGAGCCCCTCTTGGGCCCGTCTTGGGGCCTCTTGGTCCGCCTTGGGCAGCACTTGGGCCGTCTGGGGGGCGCTCTTGGGCCGCTCCGGGGCCGTCTTGGGAGCCTCGTGGGCCGTCTTGGAGCAGTCTTGAAGGCCTCTTGGGCCCTCTTGGAGCGTCCGGAAGCGAAAAGGCCAGAACGCAAAAAAACATCGAAAAAACCAATGAAAATCAACGATTTTGGCAACTTGGGGCCCTCTTCGGAGGCCTCTTGGAAGGCCCTTGGAGCGTCTTGGAGGCCTCTTGGGCTGTCTTGGGGCCATCTGGGGCGTCTTCGGGCGATCTTTGGCCGTCTCGGGCCTCTCTTGGACCGTCTAGAAAGCTTCTCGGGGCCCTCTTGGACCGATCTGGAGCCCTCTTGGACTCCGAAACAGAACTCCGGCATCTCTGACCCGACCTTGCCGGGGACTTGCCGGGACCTTGCCGGGGTACTTTTCGTCCGGGGACCCCCAGGGGCCGCCCCGCGCGCGCGAACTAGAAATACTGTTAACCAGGTACCGGAGATCTTAGCACGCCCTGGCCCGTTGGGCCGGCGAATTGTACTCAAGAGGCTTACGCGATTTCGCCGACCCCCAGATGAGGATGTGTACGGCTTCCGATTTCAGTGGCCGTTTCGGGGGCCTCTTGGGCCCCTAGGGGGCTCTTGGGCCGTCTGGGCCCTCTTGAGCCTCTTGAGCCGGGATGGGGCGATCTTGGGGGCTTCTTGTGCTGTCGTGGGGCGATTTGGGGGTCCTCTTGGGCCGTCTTTGGACGCTGGAAGCAAAACGTATCATCGCTCTAATTTTAGCATTAGAACAAAACGGACATAAACGATTTGGCATATTGGGGGCCCCATTGGGGAACTTCTTGGGGCCCAATCGGGGCATCTTCGGGCCCCTTTGGGCCGTTTTGATGCAATTTCGGGCCGTCTCAAGAAGCTCTGGGCCGTCTCGGGACCCTTTTGGAATATTGTGGAAGCATATTGGGACCCTATGGGCCCTTCGGTGGCTCCCTGGCGTCAGGAAAAGTCACGCTGGGCGCCCCAAGCAAATCTGGGGTTTGGGTCTCCAGGCCCTTGAAAGAACCTTCCACGTTCAGTGTCGAAGTTTCTAGAGTGGACCTGCACGGCGGCGTATGTAACTCACTTGCTCTCTGAAGGTGGTGCTGGTCCACCGCCTCGTGAGCGAGGGCACGTACGAGGAGCGCCTGGAGGAAATCATGCAGCGCAAGCAGGACCTCAGCTCGCTCACGGTGACGCAGAGCGAGGATTGGATCGCGGATTACGACGACCAGGCGCTGTTCGACCTATTCATGCTGCGTTCCACCTCGGGCGGCGCCACGCGTCGAAGCGGCGTCGCGGGGAAGCACTGTCAAATCGCATAGCAAGGATGAGCAACTTCCCAAGGTTCCCCTTGCATCCTTGCCCCTTCGGCCCATCCTTGGTGACTTTCGTTGGCCAACACCCCGTTCGAAAAAACGTGAACATGGCCCTCCAAGGCCCTTGCATCCCTACCCCGCATCCTTCTTATGCGTTTCGGCTGAAGGGAAAGAAGCAGAAGCATGAGCGAAACGCCAACGGCGCCCTGCAACACCGAGGGGGGCCCCAGCACCGGGCGCGCAAAGCAGGCTGACCTCGGGTTCGCGTTTAGCTCAGGGCTTCTTGGCTTCTTTCCCTTCCAGGGGGGCGGCCGCCTGCAGAAACCCCGCGGCGCTCCTCGTTACCAAGCGTGCCAGAGTTCTCACCATCGCCTGCTCCATTCCCTGGCGCGCACGTCGGTGGCTGGGTGTGGGCAACAGTGGCCCTGCTAAACGATTCTGGGAAGAGTCTGTCATGGCCGCATGGGGACTCTCTGGTTTGGGAGGGCCTCAAGACCTTCGGGTTTGGGGTCTTCTGGGCTCTACATGCACTGGGGTCATCTTGGGAGGTGTTCGGGCTGTCTTGAAGTATTATTTAGCACTTCCATAACCGATGTTTGAACGACAGGTTGAGAAATCGCATTCTCGGAAAAGCCGTTCATATCAACGATGTTGGGTTTCTTTACTTTCTCTTGGGGCCTCTTTCGGGGCCTCCTGGATCGTCTTCGAGGTCTTCGGGCCATCTTGTAGTCATTTTTAGGCTGTCTTCGAAGCCATGTTGCGGGGATGGGTTGGGAGACACCGAAGAATGACAACGACGAACGAGCGACCGACGATAACAAGTGGCACGCGTTCCCTGGCTCTTGCATGAGGGGACCGCGGCCCAGTGGAGGAGGGGGGAGCCCGGGGAGGCCAGGGGCGAACCACAAGCGAAGATACAGGGTTCCGCGGCCGGGGAGGGGGCTGGAAAGCCAGGGAGGCCAGGGACGAGCCCCGACAGGTCCAAGCTCCAGAACGCAGCTGCGCAAGAGAAGACATGGCTCCGACCTCTAGGCGCACACACGTGCAAGGTAATAAGGTTGCTTCTCTTTGCGAGAGGGAGCTTTAGGGAAGGTGCGTGCAGGGCGCTGGGGCGTGCAGACATTTGTTTGGTCGCTGCATGGCCGTCGGGGGCAGCTCTAGAGCGCTCCAGAAGCCAAAATTCAGAGGGCGCAGTGCCTGGGAAACAGGAAGCGCCACACGAGCCAAATGGATTGCACGTGCTTCTGCTAAGGTTGTCTCGGAGGGTTCGGGGAGCAAGGGGGGCTCTGGGGCCTGGGGAGGGAGTGGAGAGCTGTGGGGAGGGGGACGGATTGGGGGAACGGCGACGAACGAACAAACGAGCGAAATTCTACGAAACTAGATGGATGAGGAGGGGAGGAGCGTGAAACGAGTCCTCCAGCGTCTTCGGGCAATCTTGAGGATTCTTGAGAGTCCTAGGAACAGATGGGGGCACCCTGGGAGCGTCTTGTGGCGTGTTGGTATGGAGGCCCTGCTCGTCTTGGGCCATCTTGGGAGGCACGCTGAGGAGAGGGGCGGACGACGGGGGACCAGGGTGGACGGAGGGAAACACGACGAAGAAACGACGGCGGAGAAGCAACGCCTGCTCGGCAGGCACCTGGTGCTCCGAGGGTGATGTATCAGGTCGCGAGGACGGCACCCGCTTTTACATGGCTATGTCTGGCACGTTTCTGCGGCAGTCTGTCTGATGGTTTATTGCGGAAGACATTGCCTTAGACGAGGCTGTACAGGCATCGCCAACCACGGACGCCTAGCAAAAGGCGAACTGCCGTCAGCATGCTGACCTGGGCCTGGGGAGAAGATCAGAAAGGATGCAAGATGAACTATCAACAAGTGTGCGCTTCTTGGGGCTTGTTTGAAGACTTTCGGGGCCTGCTGGGCTGGTTTGGGGGCAATCGTGGCCCACATTGGGGAGCGTGAGGGGCTCTCTCAGTGAATCGTAGGGGCCTCTTGGACCCTGTTGGCAGCTTCCCGGGTTGATCTCGGAAACATCTTGAGCTGAAACAGATCCAGCGGCCTTCGGCCCATCCTGCCACCGTTTGTGGGTCGCTGGCCAACAGAGGCCTCTGAGAGGCCTCTCGGGGTCACTTGAGGCGTCTTTGGCACGTCTCGGAAGCCTTTGGGGGGCCTTTCGGGGCCTCCGTGGGATCTCTTGGGATCATGTTGCGAGCTTCTTTGGGGCCTGCATGCGGTCTCGGGGCTCGTCTTCGGGTGGAGGGCTCCAAATGTCACTTCGTGCTTCCCCTCACTTGGCCAGTTTTGGGGCCTCGTGGGGGCCGTCTTGGGGCGATCTTGGGGGCCCTTAGGCCGCCTTGGACGGTCTTAGGACGGAAAGGTCGTTCAGCAACAAATCATGTAAAGCCAAGTGTTTCTCGATGTTTGTGGCTTCGTGGGCAGGCCCCCGGGGCCTCCAAGACGGCCGCCAAGATCACCCCAGAACGGTTGTTCCCGCGGCCACGCCTCCGAGGCCTCTGAAAAATTGCATGTGGGCATTCCGTGGAGCGCGCAAGAGCGCCGGGGAGCGCTCGGAACAGGGGGGGCTTGGGCCCATTTAAAGATCCACTCCTGCGGCACGGTGGCGTATATATTAAAGCTTTGGATGGGATGTCGCCTCTCGAGGTAATACCATGGATTCCTTCGGGCCTGAGGGCCCATCCTCGCGCATCGTGGGTCGTCTTCGAGGCTTCTTGGGTGTATCGGAGTCCTTCGTGGGCCGTCTTGGAAGACACGCTTGGGAGAGGAGACCAGCGGGGGCTGGGGGGGGGCAAGGCGGAGGACGACGACGACGACGACGACGACGACGACGACGACGACGACGACCGACGAACGAACGAACGAACGAACGACGCGAACGAACATGGAGTGCCCCGAGCCGTCGAATCCAGCTGCGCAGTAGAATCGAGAACTACGAGCTAGAGTTGCACAACTGTGCGAGGTAATCAGAAGCTTCAGACTCTCACCTCGTTGCTAGGGCCACTGTTGCTGGGGCCACTGCTGCCGAATTTGAAGGTAGCTTCCACGGCGGCAGCAGCAGCAGCAGCAGCAGCAGTTCGGCCGCCCCGCCGCCCGGGAAGCGCCTGAAGCTAGGCGTCGGGCGTTGACTAATGGGGCGACGATAAAAGGGGGTGAAGAAAAGTGCACCTCAGAGGCTTTACAGGGGCCCAAAAGGGGTACGAAAGGTGCATGTTTCTTCGCCTCCCCCACTTGGCGCCCCGTATTAAGCAACGCCCGAAGGCGGCAGCGAGTGCTCCATCTGCATGGACAAGCCGGGCACCGTCACTCTGCTGCCGTGCTCCCACGCGGGCTTCTGCCGCGGGTGCGCGTGGAAGGTTCGGCAACACGTAAGAGTGACCCTTCGCCGAAGTGACTTCTGGTGCGGACACACGGGCCCCCAGACTGTTGAATGCCATGTGATGGCAGCGGTTTGCGCGCTCGGGTTTGGCTCCCCCGCGCCACCCCGGATCACTTCTGTGTGTCGCCGGAAGGTCAGCACGTGCCCGATGTGCCGCCAGCCCATTGTGGGCCGGCGGTGAGCGCGAAGCCAGTGCTCGCCCGGCGTCGAGCAGCTGGCTCGCGCAGCAGGTGGATCCTCACCCCAGCGACAGGATGGCCAGGGAGCATCGGCCGCGGGAGTGCCGAGCGTCTGGCGTGGATCTGGCGCGTGTGGCTGCGAGGCGCGCAGCAGCGCCCGGCAGTGCGACGGAGGCATGACAGATCAGGAGGGTGGCCGATGAGCTCGGCCAGAGGAGACAGCTGCAGAGCCTCCAAGGGTGGTGGTGCGACCCGTGGGCGGCCAGCGCCTGCGCCCCCGATGGGACCGCTCGAGGTGGTTCCCCGCGATGGGCCCCCAGGAGGAGTTCTGAAGGCTCTCTCTTGCCTCCGCTCACTTCCCTCCTTCTTCCGTCTTTTCCTTGTAAATATCTCCTCCCTGTCGCGCCCCGAGGCCAGTCGACAAGGGCGGGTCGTGCGTTTCGCTTGAGACTTCTCACCATGGTGACCCTGAAACTTAAGAGTTGACAACAGCTTCACAGATGGAGAGCGGGTGGCTATCAACATGTGGCTCTTGCCTTAGCGCCGCGCATATTCTGTAAAAACTTGGCAACAGCTTCACGGATCGAGGGCGGGTGGCTACCAAAATGTGGATCTCGCATTAACACCGCGCACATTCGTTGCAACAAATTTGGCAACAGCTTCACGGATGGAGGGTGCGTGGTTACCAAAATGTGGTTCTCGCCCTAGCACCGTACACATTCGTTGTAAAAAGTTCGAAGAGTCTCACGGATGGAGGGCGGGTCGCTTTCAAAATTTGGTTCTCGCCGTAGCGCCGCGCACATTCGTCATTGAGAGTTGCAAGGGCTTCACGGATGGAGGGCGTGTCGTTTTCAAAATATGGCTCTCGCAATAGCGCTGCGCACAGTATTTGTAAAAGATGCAAATGTTTCACGGATGGAGGACGGCTCGTTCGCTTGAAACATGTGCAAAGGTTTCATGGACCCCCACGGTCAACGTACCAGAAATGGCGTCTTGAAGCGTCAGGGTTGTCAGGGCGCAACAGTTGTTGAAGTCCCATGAATGCTGTTTTGGCACGCCTCAGGGTCTTCAAACGGTTGTTTCCCAACGGGGGATTTTCCCCAGTGGAAATGAAACTTTGCAGGGGCCTATGAAGACAGAGCTTGAGGGGAGGGTGTATTCCAACATCGTTGGTGGGTCTTGGGTTTACACCGGTCCCTCTCCTCCTCGTCCTCCTCTCCCTCCTCCTCGTTCTCCTCCTCCTCCGCCTCCGCCTCCTTCTCCTCTGCCTCCTCCTCATCATCATTGCGAGGCGATTTCTAATCCTGCGCGGATGAGGCACAAGCGTGCGTCGGCCTCGAATCCGCGTCACCACCGTGCTTTGGCTTGCACCTGGGCTCTCGCCCTTGGCCTCTTCATAGAGGTGTCGTTTGTGGCGCCGACCCATTTCACTAAACATACGAAGAGTGTGAGGAGCTGCATCGATCCGTTCTTTATCCTGTGCTCCTGGGTGGATGGTTTGTCAGTTACTCTTTCTGTTTCGAACGATTGGTCACCCCATGGAGCTCTCGAGTGCTGGGATATCCGAACACGCTGCGCTGCAGGTGTCGATAGCCAATCGCAGTGTTACCCCGAGATATGCTCAGAGGCTCCCAAAGCATCTCTTTTTGGATGTGTTCTTCAAGACCCGCATCGAGGCGCATGCCAAGTGCGCTCCCTCGGTTTGAATCGAACAATCCAAGGACATGGTCAAGGAAGCTGCCGGGCCGACCAGGGGCATGCTGTTCATCCAATTGCCCGAAAGTGACGACGTGTCGTTCCTGGTTGCCCGAGGGTGTGGTCGCGCAGTCTGGACACAGGAAAAGCGAATGGCGAGGCGGTTTATTTTCAAGAGTGTGTGTGCTGCTGATATGCTGGTTGCTGATTATCAGGGTGAGCGTCGCTTCATACATGGAATTGATGGACTCCACATGAGGGCGCTGGAATATATATATACATATATATATATATATACATATACATATATGTATACATATACACATACATATACATATACATATACATGCCTATACGACCACCCTTCGGGTGATAAGGACGTTCGGGGGGGAGGAACCAACGTCTCACTCGATCGGTCTCACTATCGATATCACTATCGATCTCACGATCGGTCTCGCTCGATCGATCTCATTCGATCGATCTCACAATCGATATCACTCGATTTATTTCATTCGATCGATATCACAATCGACATGACTATCGATCTCACAATCGATCCCAATATCGATCTCACGATCGATCTCACAATCGATCTCACAATCAACGTCATCATCGTCATCAACATCATCGCCACCAACATCATCAACCTCATCATCACCATCATCATCACCAGCATCATCATCACCTCATCACCACCATCATCATCATCCTCACCATCATCATCATTGGGACACCATCGTCGTCACCATCATCATCATCAGCAACACCATCATCATCGGGACACCACCATCATCATCATAAACGGAACACCACCAGCATCATCATTTCGTTATGATGAACAACATCATCATCAACATCATCATCATCATCATCGGGACACCATCATCATCAGCAACAGCATCATCATCATCAACATCATCACTATCTTCGGGACACCATCATCATCGTCACCATCATCATCATCACCATCATCATCATCGGGACACTATCATCAAAATCTGCATCACCTCATCATCACCCTCATCATCAACATCATCATCATCGGGACACCATCATCGTCATCATCATCATCATCAACATCATTCTCATCGGGACACCATCATCATCACCATCATCATCAACAGCATCATCATCAACGTCATCATCATCTCCGGGACACCATCAATCATCATCTTCATCACCATCATCATCACCATTACATCGTCATCATCTCATCATTATCAGCATCATCATATCACCAGCATCATCATCATCGGGACACCATCATCATCATCAGCAACATCATCATCATCATCAACACCATCATCGGGATATCATCACCATCACCACAATCACCATCATCATCAACAAAATCGTCAACATCATCAGCATCATCATCATCATCGGAACACCATCATCATCATCACCACCATCCCCATCATCATCATCAATATCTTCGACATCATCATCATCATCATCATCATCATCATCATCATCATCATCATCATCATCATCATCATCATCATCATCATCATCGGGACACCGGCGGGACACCGGCGGGACACCGCGCCCCACTGGCCCCCGGTCAGGAAACATTTGGTCCGGCCGCGCCTCAGCCCGAGGCGGGACACCGGCGGGGCACCGCGCCCCGGTCCCCGGTCAGTAAACATTTGGTCCGGCCGCGCCTCGGCCAGAGGAGACTTTCTTTTCGCCCGCCCACGCAGATTCGCCTCGCCCGCACGCACGGCACGCACGAACACGAAACCGAAACCGATTTCCCGGTAGGGGGGCTTTCCGTTCCACTTCGATCTCACCCCCTCACATCCGATATACATTTATATATATATATATATATATACATACATACATACGTACGTACGTACGTACGTACGTACAAACATACATACATACATATGTGTATATGCACATATGTACAAATGTGCAGATCTGTGTACATATATATATATATATATATAAGACTGCATTGGCGCTTCGCGCCATGCACCTTGGTCCTTGAGGCTTTGCTTCTTTTGGCCGTCCGCGCCATCCCTGGTGGCCTTGGAAATTTGGCCCCTTCCGTGCAGTTGTTTTCGGACAGTCTTCGGAAATTCATGCGGTCCGTGGCCCTTCCTGGGCCTCCGGGGGTTCCCGAAAGGCGCCGGGTGGAGGGCAAGGGATAGGAGGGAGGGAATCTCGGGGAGCGAGGAGAGGGAAGCGGATGTGGGGGAGGTGGTGGAGCGGCAGAAAATGGAGGAGGAGGAGGAGGAGCAGGAGCAGGAGGAGCAGCAGGAGCAGCAGGAGCAGGAGGGAAAGAGATGGCGTCGTCGGGGGACGGCGAAGATTTTCGATTGCGCCGCACCGATGAACGCTGTCCTCAAGCCAACGGCTACGGTTTCATGTGTACGTACACGCTTGCAGAAATGTCTGGCAATGAATGACGACGAAAGGCTTCCGTGGGCCCGCACATTGGTCCGCTCGTGACTCAGGTGCCCCGATGCACAATGCGAAGGACTGGCATGCCACGCGAATCAACGCTAATCAAACCGACGCAACGTCAAGCAACGCCGCAAAGCACAAGGCAATGTCAAGCCGAGGATGTCATCTTGCCGAGGGTCGCAACGGGGCACGCGAAAAAAAGCAATCCTTGGGGAATGTACCGAATCCCGGGCTCGCAACAGATTTATGAGAAATGTGGTTGCGAACCCGGGATCCGGGTCAGTTTGGTGGAAAACGCCGTGCGGGCCTTGTTGAAGCCTTGGTGGGCTGGCTCGGGGCCCTCTCGAGCTGTCCTGGGGCCATCTTGGGTCGCGTTGGGGAACTTGGGCTTTTTAGGGATCTTACGGGGGCTACGTGGGCCCTCCTGGTGGCCCCCCATGGCTTTTCGGGGGTTTCCCATCGCCTTCTTGGGCTTCTTTTGGGGCCTTGTGAGGGCCTGTTAGGTTTCTTTGTGCCCCTCTGGGGGCTTCCTTAGGCAGTCTTGAGGCCATCCCTGCCGTCTAGAGGCTCTCTTGGGGGTCTCTTGGGCCGTTTTGGAGCGATGCTAGTGGCCTTTTTGGTTGTTTGGGACGCTGATAAGGCCCGAACATGCTGAAAACGCACGTCTCCTGGAGGGAATGAAGCGATTTCTGCGTTCTGGGAGTCCTGGTCAGGCCCTCCTAGGCCGTCCTGGGCCATCTGGGTCCTTCTTGGGGCGCTCTTGTGCTATTTTGGGTTTCCCTTCGGCCTCTCTGATCACCGGTCTGATCGCTTGGGGTCGGCTGGCAAGACCCTGCGAAGCGCCATGGAAGGTCCGGGACGAGCTGGGTGAGCTTTGGCAAGGGTGTCTGGG